GGATAGTGTCCAGATTTTTTCTGGCAAAACAGAGTATTATGACATGTTTCTGAACCTCTTTCTGTCTGTTTGTGCCAGGGCTTGTCCATCTCAGCCTTACTGATGCTTGAAGCCAGACAGTTCTTTGTCCTGTGTCTGCTGCATCCCTACCATCTACCCACTAGATGCCAAAAACACATTCTCTTCAGGTTCTTACAGGAGTAACAGACATTGCCAAATGTCCCCTAGGGGAAGAGCTTCCTGGAGTGAGAGCCATCACTTTAGACTCAACAAAAAGTGAGCTTTTGTAAATCTTTGAATAGGCCATTCCATAACCAGTCAGGGAGGAGTATTCAATTAATCTTACCATTTTTAAGAAACTACTATGGATCAGGCTGGCTATTCTTGGGGTTCATTTCTATCTCATCCTCCAGTATTATATTCTGCATTTTTCTATAATGAGGAAGCAAGATCAGAGGGCTGTGTGACCTGCCAGGTGTTGGTGTTTGGGGACATCTCCTGACTCCTCAAGTGCTGTGGCAGGACTTCCTCTATCTACCTCACACACTGCTTCTACTTTTGGTTTTTTTTTCAAACTTAAAGTGTGTGTACAAATATGTATCCATTGGAGTGTGTAAATAAGTGGGGGTATTAATGGGAATCAGATATGTGGAACATGTCTGACTACAAAGACAGAGTTTGCTAAGTATGGACCTTTGAAGAAACATAAGGAGTCTAACTTGTTAGTAGCAATAGTGGGCCAAATGAGTGGTCTTCACTGAGTGACCTTGCTGTATATGTGTTGACATATGCTAAATCTTCATTCCAGAGTGGGGGGATTTTTTTACCAGAAGATTTTTTTCTACTCTTTTATGTGTGAATATGAATTGTGTGTGTGTGTGTGTGTGTGTGTACAGGCATGTTCATGTGTGTGAGTGCAGATGAATACACACCTACACACCACAGGGCACATATGGAGGTCAGGGGACCACCTCAGGTTTCAGTCCCCACCTTCAGCTTTTCTTGAGACAGAACAGCATCCCTGTTGTACTGTGACTGTGTATAATAAGACAGCTGACCAGCAAGCTTCCAGGGATCCTCCTGTCTGCCTCCCACCTCACCGTGGGCATGTGCTGTGGCACCACCTTTCTGCTTGGATTCTTTCCCTTGTGCTCATGAGACCAGTGCTTTACCCACTGAGCCATCACGCAGCCCCCTAGGAGATCTTTAACCAAAATTATGTCCACAGTTGTGTAAGATCAAGGGGTCTTTCCTTAGAGTGTGGCATCTTCTCTTCCACCACAAAAGCACAGAGGTCAGAGCAAATGACATTGAATGACCTTCAGAATGTTGAAATGCAGGAAGTCAGTCTTAGATTGTAAAGGTTTTCTCTCCTCCAAGAACGTGTTGGGACAATGCACTAACCCTCTCTGAGTAAGGGGATCTTACTAATGTTTAAAAGAACTACTCATGTTTGCTTTTTACTTCATTCTATTTCTCTAAAAAGACTAATAAAAATGTTTTAGGCTCGAAAGGTGCTCGTGGAGCTCCACAATCATTCAACTTAGATGTTTGTTTTTAAGGTAGACCATGTTACTTCATGAGCCGATGCCAAGTCTCAGCGTTACTGATATAAGAGGCCTTTTCCAAGCATCTTACATTTTTGTTGTCATGTCGAATAAAAGTTTATGAAAGGCAGTAACCAGGGAGGCAGTCTGATACATCGTCTTTTTAAAAACAAGCTTTCTCCTTTTTAAGTTGAGTTTTATCCCACATTTGGCATTCGGAAATGTTTTGTTCACAACAAGAACCGTTGTACCATATTAGGCAACATTCTCCTCCTCACAGCTTGAAATGAATATGAGGGCTAAGTTCATAAGTTTGAGTCCCTTTAAAGACATGTTTGATTGCAAAGCTCTGTCCACCCTGTTTGATATCTTCCACCGCCCGCATGACTGAACTAAGCTCTGGGACAGCCTGCTGCTTAGGCATCTTCTAGCATCCAGGTTGTTCTTTGAGTCAACTTTGCCATCTAGTGGCCTGATGAGATCTTTCCATTCATGAAGACATAGCTGTGGAGTGCTGTAATGAACTATGACAGAAAACAGACACTCTTGTCCAGAGCAGAGACCCAAAACAAGCTCCAAAAATGATGTATTCTAAAAAGAAGAAATGCTAAGCAGCTAGTCTTTCAAAAACATGGATGCAGACTGCTAATGTTGCCCCATGATCATGATAAGAAAAAGAAATAGAATTAGAGGGCTGGAGAGATGACTTGGTGGTTAAGAGCACTTCATTACTCTTGCACAGGACCTGAGTTTGATTCCCAGCATCTATCTTGGCTCACAACCATCTGTAACTCCAATTCTAGGGAATTCGATACCCTCTTCAGAAAGTATATAAGAAATGAGCATACTCATTACATATTTTCAATAATGTTTAAAGACACAATGTCATGAGCTAAGAATGTAGCTCAGTTATCAGAGTGGCTTCATACCATGCAGAAGGCCCTGAGTAGTGAAGCTGCCTTTAATACTTACACTCCAGAGTCAGAAACTGAAGGATAAGAATTCAAGTCATCCTTGGCTACATAGTATTTTGAGACCGGTTTGAGCTATGTAAAAATGAAAATAAAGAGATATTATTCTGTGAAGTGATGGACACTATTTCCCTCTTTCTTCGGGTTGAATCATTTCAGTAAGGATTAAATAACTGGTATCATCTTCAAGTTGCTTATGTCTGAAATATCAGATGTCTAAAATGTTCATCATTTAAATGTTCATCATTTTATCAGGTGGGTAGAATGCAAATAATTCACATCCATTTACCAAGCAGAATGAAGGGAACTCTGTGGTTGAATGATTGCCATATAAGCATCTGATCCTTTTCCCCTGTGAAAATGAGAGTGGGTAATCAGAGGAATCGGGGCTCAGTTGTATTTGACGTCAGTGTCCCATGAAATGCATGTACACATATGAGGGAAAGTACAAAGGTCAATTCCTTTGCTAATTATCCTGCCTTGAACAAACCAACCTGGCATGCCCTTGACTTCTTCCCTTCACATTAGAGGATTAACAGGATCATGTGTGGCTTTGAAGTTTATGCCTTGTAACACGCATCCTAAATGCAGGCCATACAAAACTAGTGTGATGCATGCCTCATTCTAACTCTGGGACTAAGGCAGAAAAGCCACAAGTCTGAGGGCTAAGGAGTGAGTTCCAGACCTGCTTGGGTTACAGATTGTAATCCACTCCCAAAACAAAAATTAGACAGGCTCGTAAGAAAGATTTGTGGAGATGAAGGGACAAGTAGACAGGAGTGGAGGGGATTAATAGAAATTTGGGTTGGTTGTATTTATTATGATTATATGTAATGGTCAAAGATCAAATTTAATCTTTAGAGGGATATATATATATATATGTATATATGAAAATGTAAGAAAAATACCAGACAGGACAAAGATCTTTCCTAACTTCATCTTTTCTCTTTTTTCCCCAGACTATGTCAGAGAGTCACAATGACCTTGCACAGTAACAGTACAACCTCGGCTTTGTTTCCCAACATCAGCTCTTCCTGGGTGCACAGTTCCTCAGAGGCAGGGCTGCCCTTGGGGACAGTCACTCACTTGGGCAGCTATAACATTTCACAAGCAGCTGGGAATTTCTCCTCAAACGACACCTCCAGTGACCCTCTGGGGGGTCACACTGTCTGGCAAGTGGTCTTCATTGCATTCTTAACAGGCTTCCTGGCATTGGTGACCATCATTGGCAACATCCTTGTCATTGTGGCATTTAAGGTCAACAAACAGCTGAAGACAGTCAACAACTACTTCCTCTTAAGCCTGGCCTGTGCAGATCTGATCATCGGGGTCATTTCCATGAACCTGTTCACTACCTACATCATTATGAATCGCTGGGCACTGGGGAACTTAGCCTGTGACCTCTGGCTTTCCATTGACTATGTGGCCAGCAATGCTTCAGTCATGAATCTGCTGGTTATCAGCTTCGACAGGTACTTCTCCATCACAAGGCCACTCACCTACCGAGCCAAACGAACAACAAAGCGAGCTGGTGTGATGATTGGTTTGGCTTGGGTCATCTCTTTTGTCCTGTGGGCTCCTGCCATCTTGTTCTGGCAATACTTTGTAGGGAAGAGAACTGTGCCCCCAGGAGAATGTTTCATTCAGTTCCTGAGTGAGCCCACCATCACCTTCGGCACAGCGATTGCTGCCTTTTATATGCCGGTCACCATCATGACTATTTTATATTGGAGAATCTATAAGGAAACTGAAAAACGTACCAAAGAGCTGGCTGGGCTACAGGCCTCTGGGACAGAAGCTGAGGCAGAAAACTTTGTCCACCCCTCAGGTAGTTCTCGAAGCTGCAGCAGCTATGAACTACAACAGCAAAGCATGAAGCGCTCATCCAGGAGGAAGTATGGTCGCTGTCACTTCTGGTTCACAACCAAAAGCTGGAAGCCCAGTGTTGAGCAGATGGACCAAGACCACAGCAGCAGTGACAGCTGGAATAACAACGACGCTGCTGCCTCCCTGGAAAACTCTGCCTCCTCCGATGAAGAGGACATTGGCTCAGAGACCAGAGCCATCTACTCTATTGTGCTCAAGCTTCCAGGGCATAGCACCATCCTCAATTCTACCAAGCTACCCTCCTCAGACAACCTGCAGTTGCCAGATGAAGACCTGGGGACTGTTGATGTAGAGAGAAATGCCAATAAGCTTCAGGTTCAGAAGAGCATGGATGATGGTGACAGTTGTCAGAAGGACTTCTCCAAGCTTCCCATCCAGTTAGAGTCTGCTGTGGATACAACCAAGACCTCTGACACCAACTCCTCGGTGGACAAGACCACAGCCACTCTACCACTGTCCTTCAAGGAAGCCACACTGGCTAAGAGGTTTGCTCTGAAGACCAGAAGTCAGATCACCAAGCGGAAAAGAATGTCGCTCATCAAGGAGAAGAAAGCAGCCCAGACCCTCAGTGCCATCTTGCTGGCCTTCATCATCACCTGGACCCCCTATAACATCATGGTCCTGGTGAATACCTTCTGTGATAGCTGCATCCCCAAAACCTATTGGAATCTGGGCTACTGGCTATGCTATATCAACAGCACCGTGAACCCCGTATGCTATGCCCTGTGCAACAAAACATTCAGAACCACCTTCAAGATGCTTCTCTTGTGCCAGTGTGACAACAGAAAGAGACGCAAACAGCAGTACCAGCAAAGACAGTCAGTCATTTTTCACAAGCGAGTGCCCGAGCAGGCCTTGTAGAAAAAGGGTTTGTCTGGAGCAGTGACCACACTCGCACATCAGCCCACACAGCCTAGCAGGAGTCTGGCGCAGGTGGGAGGCCATTCCTGATGGTGATAAAAGGGGTTTTATCAACCACACAGGAGAGAAGCTGCCTGTTTACTGATCCAATGAATAAACTGATTTTGGCCAAATGCCAATTCAGCAGGAAAGAAAGGAAAGCATACTGCTGACCATAAAGAGATATATTCTGAAATAGACTTCAAAGTGTTTTTTTCTTAAAGAGAAAAACATATTGTCTTGAAGCAAGTATCCTCTGACATTGGTTTGCCTAGGTCTTTTAATTCCCATCAGCTCTGAAATCACAGGTGAGCCTCGCTGCACTAGTTGCTGTGTGCTCTTCCCAAGGGTCCCAAAGTGTCCATCCAGACCCCATGTGAAGCATGGCAGGCTTGGATATCTGTGGTTCTGAGTTATTTTGTACATTGCAAAGCTGACGCCTCTTGTCCCAGTCAGCTTCTGTCCCCTTTCGGTGTGTTGTTAAACTCTATTTGTGGATTTGATTCTTGGTTCTTGCAAACTACTGTTTTGTGCAATTCAAGTTTCATACAAATAAAATTGCATATGAATACGTGCATATCTATACATGTGTGAGTTCAGCACGCACACACATAGTGTATATAACATGTTGGGGAACAGTGAACTGGCCAAATGTTCCTATCTTGTATGCTTTCAGTACTTTGGTAACTGAAATTCTCTAGGATCCTAATATGATATGGACAGTGAATTAAGCCTGGTTTAATGTTGTGTTTGGGTCTGGGTTTTTGACACTGGAGCTGTTTTCCACAAACCACCCTGAAGAATAATATCCATCCCAGAGAAGCCAGGCCTTCTCGGCAAACCTGTGCTAGATGGACAGTCTCAAGGGTCAGTCGGTACCACGCCTTGACTGGACTCTGTGTGCGTACTGTCTCCTTGGCTGTTAACGCTATCTACAGAGCTGAACTAGGGCCTCTCTGAGCTTGAAAGAATGAACTTATGTACATGTTTGAATTTAGTCGTCCAAATCTGAATGTTTCAAAACAAATTTTCTGGGATCTAAACTGCTTGAAACTCAATCCTAGAGTCACCTTTGAATGTCACATACAGCAATATATCTACATTTACATGGAAAGGCGAAGGAAATACTGTGCCAAGGCCTGGCAGAAAGTATTGTATTTCACTTCCTGCTACTTGGCACCTTCTGGAGGAAAGTAGGGCTTACCTCCTGTTATTTAGCAGGAGCCAGGACCTTTTGGTCATCACTGTATAACCTTCACCCAGGAATGGTTGGTGTCTAAGAAGCCACAGGTCCTCTGAAGAAAGAATTGCACTTGAAAAAGTATTGCTTCAAAATTTATTTCTTTCCATTGTGACAAGCGAATTTTGCATTATCCTTTGAATTGCCCCAAGTGCACCGTGTTTTCTCCAGGGGAGGAGTCTGCTGCTCTTGTTCTCGTGGCTGCTGTATTGTTGGGTTCCTTCCTTCTTTTCCTTCTGCTGGGACTGTGTGGGGAGTGGGTGGGGGGATGGGAGGGCTGTGGAGAACCCTTCCCTTGTGCGGGGCATCCATCTGTGTTGTGAGCCCAGAGCTGGGGCCAAAGCTGCTTTTGTATTCAGTCGGCGGTGTTTACAGCCGACTTTGACATCAGTGGATGTGTTCTCAGTGGTGTGTCTGTACCTAAACTATTTAATGTTGTGTCATGTTTATATAAAGAATATTTATGCATACTTCACCATGTGTTTATTTAGTGCTGATAAATGTGACTCCCTCCACTGTGCGCTTTGATGTTGATTCTTTAGGATCCACTTAAATCAAGAATAAATGTCCACTAAGCTTTTTCATGTGGCTGAGAAGAAAGCCATCATCTGGTTGACGTTCAAGAGCACCTGACTCCTTCCAGGTAATAAGCTCTGTTACTGAAAGTCACTCTTTAATACCCAACAATATAATGGAGGACCAGCAATCCTCCTCCACTGTATCTGGAACCACATTGCAAGGAACAAAAACAAAATCCGCACCATCATAAGGATTTTCTTTTCGTTTTTGGCCCTCATTCAAGCAAAGAACAAGAAAAACCAGAGACTAGTTTCTCACATGTACAGTGATGTGCACAAGCATGTTCTCCACCTGAGAAGCATCTGGTAAGCTATTGCATCTGTATTTTATTACTCCAGTTTCCCTGGCACTAATAAACATGTGAATTCTCTTTCAAGTCTCTCTGTACATCAGTAATTCCAATCTTTCTGAAACCCCCATTCTCCCACCTTCTGCAAAGGGCTCTTCCTTGTATTAAAAGAATAATAATAATGAGAGTAGAGAATCCCTTAGCTTGAGCAGAAAGTCAAGGGTAAATTAGGATTCTACTTAAACATCTTTATCTCCAGATTCTTGTCCAAGATCCCAATAATTACAAAAAAAAAGATACTAGCTCTCCTTTTAGCTACTGGGTTCATTATGGTGTATAAGCCTCTTATGGGCAAAGGCTGCTTCTAATCTCTCTTGGCTGTTTATGGAAAGGTATGTCCAAGTCTTGGGTCATTTTTGAAGAAGAAAAAGAAACAAAATGGATTCTTTTGAAATGAAGAGCTTAAAATTTAGCTGAAGATGCAGCTGAGCATTTGTAACAGCATGTGTTGCATGAGCATTTCTCAAAAGGGCTCCTCCTAGAGCAGGCATCCAGCATGCACTGAAGATCACACGCCTTATCCTGGCCTTGGAATAGAACTACTCCATCCCATAAGAGCAAGGTTTGCAGAGATTTCAGTGTTATCCACTTCAATTGAAGGAGGAAAATAATCAAACCTAAAGTAAGTCACATACAGAGAAACTTAGACAGCCTAGCCTCTCCCTCCCCCTTCCTTTCTTCCTCCTCTCTCCCTCCTCCCCTCACCCCCTTTCTGTCTCTAACTGTCTCTGTCTCTGTCTGTGTGTGTGTATGTGCGCGCGTGCGCCCTCTTTATCTCACTCTCAGAGTCTCTCTTCCTCTTTATCTCCCTTTTCCTGTATCTTTATGTCTCTCTGTTTATCTCTCTGGTTTTCTGCTTCTCTGTCTTACTTTTTTCTTTATCTTTTGCTGTGTCTCACTGTATCTTTCTATCATTGTCTCATACTTACTTATTCATACACTCCATGCTTGTACAGGCATGTTCACATGTGTATATGTACACACACACACACACACACACACACACAGTCCTGCCTATTTCCCCTGGCTTCAGTCTTTCTTACCTATCTTTTGCCCCATGGTCCTAGGGTTCACTGTTATTCTGAGCCCCTTTTAACCTCAAACCCAGCCCAGACTCTCTGTACAAGTCCCATTTTTCAGTCACCCTTTAATATATACATATATTACATATATATATATATATATTACATCTAGACTCTAAGAGAAAGAAAAAGCTCATAAGCATTGGACATGAGAGTGACTAAAGATCTAGAAAGCACATCAACCTCCTTTGCCAACATCCCATACCTGAGTAGGTGGAGCTTGTGTGCAGCAAGTGGGAGGGGAACTTGAAACCAGCTGCAGAGGTGATGCATCAGCCCTGTCCTGGGAGGGATATAGGATTTCCAAGCCAGCAGCAAACACTAGCACCCCCTAGTGTTATAGGGAAGAGGAACCTAGGGTGAGACAGGGATTCCAGATTTCCCTGAATGCAGATGATTCAAAGATGGGTACACTGGGCTCAGTTGGTGGAGTGCTTGTTGGGCATAAACGAAGCCCAGGGTTCAATATCCAGCATTGCATAAATCATGTAATCCCAGAACTCAGCAAGTTTAAGCAGGAGGATCAGAGGTTCAAGGTTACCTTCTGCTACACACAAAAGTCAAGGCCACTCTCAGACACATCAGATTCTGTCTCAAGATGAAAAAAGTAGAAAAGATGTGGGCATATCATCAGGAAGTTAGACAGTTTTCCCTTGGCAGATTCTGAGGACAAATAAAAGCAGGACACTTTTGTGATGAGGAAAACTGAGTCCTGCATCTGGTTCTATCATGTCTGGTCACATGTCCTCAGACAGACTTCTCAGTTAATGCAAACTCTCTGGATTCCCTCCCAGCACTAAAACTAATACCTCAAGCTCATCTTCTGGTATCAGCCAAATTGAGGAGTGTGAACAACTATGATGATCAGCATACCTGATAAACCACTGAACATTACAGGCTTTAAACACCCATGACGTTATTTGTTCTGATACTTCAGTACAACTGCATCTGAAGAACTCTTTTGTTTTGCATTTAAGTGTGTGTGTGTGTGTGTGTGTGTGTGTGTGTGTGTGTGTGTGTGTGTGTGTGTTCATGCTACAGCATGCATATGGAGGTCAGAAAACAACTTAGAGGAGCCTGGTCTCTCCTCCCATCCTGTCCGTTCCGGGGGTCACTCAGGTCATTAGGCTTGATAGCAAGCTTCTTTACCCACTGATCTACCTTGCTAGCCAGAGTCAAAAGAACTACTGAGACGTGTTGGAACACCATCAATCCCATTGTTTCAGACACCACTCTCATCATGAGCACACTGACCTTAACTCAGCCGGCCTCACAGAGTCCCAGGTAGCAGGAGTTGGTTTGGGTTTTGTGGTTGTAGTGTGCACTCCTCATTCCAGGACTAAAATTGTACAGAGTATAACCATAAAAAGTTATCTTTTTAAAAGCTAAGATTACCCTTTCCTCAACCTAAATTGGGGTTTTTGTCTGCCACTTCTCCATGAAAGAATATTTTTATACAATTCAGGGTGATGCAAGCCTGTCTAAACAGTATCAGTTCCAGCTCATCCAAGGTTCAAGGGCAACTTTTACTGCTTCTCTGGGAACTTAAGTCACACCTTGTTGTTTTCCAACCCCTACATAGTCAGCCTGTAAGGACTGGGGGGCTATCTCAGTGAGTAGGGCTTGCTTTGGAAGCACTACAGCCTGAGTTTGGGTCCTGGCAAACATGGTGTAGTTGAGGCAGGAAGATTCCCTGAGGCTTGTTCAACTAAGTCTTGCTCAATTGGTGAACTCTAGGCCAATGGAAAATGCTGTCTCAGTCAAGGTGAACAGAGTTTCTGAGCATGGTGTCTGAGGCTGTTTTCTAGCCTCATATACAGACACACACTTGCACATGCACAAGTACCTACACATACATGCGTGAAAAATGAATAGGGCTGGGGAGATTGCTCAGTGGATAGAGATATTTGCCACGAAGCACAATAATTCAAGTTTGATTCCCAGAAACTGTAAGTGGAAGGGAAGAACCCATTCCCATTAGTTGTCCTCTGACTTCCACACACGTTCTGTGGCAAGTGCACACATGCACACACACAAATAAATAAATAAGATGTAAATAAGTAAACATTTAACCTCAACAAGAATGAATGTTCCGTGAGTAAATAGTCCGGAGTTAAGAGGATAGATTCTGAGGATGTAACCCATCACTCCTTAGTGATGGAGAATTCCATTTTGTTTTTCTGGCTTTAGTGATAGTGACAAAATCATGAATTGTATATTAACATAATGAAATGCATAAAGACGTCCACATTCAAAAAATAACTATACTTGACACAAGTTAGTAGGTGCTCCAGTTTAGGTTGATGGTGAACAATATGAGCACTGTTCCTCATGTGGGCATCACCTGACACAGCTGTAAGCACAGAGATAGTGGCTTTGGGTACAAGGAAGCAGCTATCTTATGCTTTAGTGTGTCAATAAACCTGTTGTTCTAATTGAACTCTGACCCAGAACAGAGTTCTGATACTACTGATGTGAGTAGGGCTGAGACACCTAAGCACTTAATCATCCAGGAATTCAAAAAGATTCATATATCCCAGTACATAAATGGCTGGGAACTCTTCAAAGATATATCAATAAAACTTTCCTCACAGTCTTCATTAGGGTTACTCTTGCTGTGATGAAAGGCCATCACTAAAAAGCAAGTTGGGAAGAAAGATTTTTATTTGGCTTACAATGCCACATTCATAGTTCATCATGGAAGGAAGTCAGGGCAGGAACTCAAACAGAACAGGACCCTGGAGACAGGAGTTGATGTAGAAGCCATGGAGAGGTACTGCTGACTGGCCCTTCAACTTGCTTTCCTATAGAACCTGGAACCCCAGCCAGGGATGGCCCCACCCACAATGGGCTGGACCTTCCCCCATTGTTAAGAAAATGTTGTAATGACCTACAGGCCTAGCCACAACCCAGTTTTCTGGAAGCATTTTCTCAATTTGGGGTTCCTTTCTTTCAGATGACTCTGGTTTGTGTCAAGTTGACATAAAATTAGTCAGGACAAGTGACTCTTTTTAATTTGACACACAACGCTTTTTAAGACATAAGGTTAATAAATATCATAAATATAATACATATTGCAAACTTAAAATTCCCATAGTCTTTACAAACTCAAACATTTTTAAAGTTCAGTCTCTGTAGAAATCCAAAATCTTTCTTTAAATCCAAAACCTCTTTTAAAAATTCTAAGTCTCTCAACTGGGGTTTCCTATAAAATCAAAAATATTTTAAATACTTTCTTATGCCAAGAGGGAAGAATCAGGGTACAGTCACAGTATGAACAAAGGAAAAGCACACTCCAACAGTGTAAATAATTTAATGTCAGTATCTTAGATTTGCTCACTATCCTCTGGCCTCCTCCACGGGACTCGGATCACTTCTCCAGCCTCCACCCTCTGCAGCACACACAGCTTTTTCTAGGCCCAGGCCGGCTCCACTCTAAAATGCTGAGGTCGTCTACGGTAACTGGTCTGCACCTTCACCAATGGCCTTCCCTGTACTCTCACAGTGCCAAGACTCAGCTGATCACCATGACACCTTCAGACCTTCAAAATCAATACCACATGGGTGTGGGGAGGGCCTGGGGACATGAGCTTTCTCTCTGTATCAGTGGAAGATCCTTGCCTGTCATTTTTTTTAAGCTGGGAAGTTACTGACTGAGAATCTTTTATCCTTTTCTACAAGCAGTTACATCCATTCACCCTCCAGTCCAGAAGCATCTTTAGCCTCCGACACATACATTTGGAGGGCTCCTGCTTGGAATTTGATGGAGAACAGAGTTTTGCTAGGTTCTAATTTTTTTCTCTTTCTGTCTTTGTGTATGTGTGCATTCATGAATGTATATGTGCACAGGTGGAGGGTTGCATTTGGAGGCCAAAAGTTGATGTTGAGTATTTCATTAATTCTCCACCTTAATTATTGAGACAGGATCTCTCACACAGACCTGGA